CATATACATGCATATATATATATAGGTCTAGGCCTATATGTATATATATGTAAATATAGGCCTATATATAAATTAAAAGGCAAACAATGGAAACAATGGCTAGATCTCAGTAGAGGTACAAATTTTATAAGCAACAGCTAAAATGTAAACGTAAGTAAAAAACAGAAATAGAAGCATAGCTCTTGGACAATCCAATCCAAGCTCGACTTATAAGGCGCGTTATACGAGGGCTCAGTGCGCCAACTTTTGAGGGAGTGCTCAGAAAAAAGCGAGCAGAAGAAACAATTGGAGAAATTGGAGAAATCATCTAGGCCTAGGCCTATTGGTAACAACCGTGCTCGAGCAAAAAACATTAATGTAGGCCTAAAGATTGTTGTTTACAGAGGTGGTGTCATTGGTTCTGTGGTCTGGCAGTATAAACACGTTCGAGTACACGACCGGATAAATAACAATATTGATAATAGACTTTAATTATTATTTACATCATTGTTCCTTTTCGAACACTGTTTCGGCAATGTTTGATTATTTATAATCATTATACATCATTCGTATTTCGTTACACTCCATAAATTAATCAAGGTTTGTTTTTTTTTATTTGGTGCTACGCAGGTGTAAACATGCATTATTATTACTTTAATAGCTTCTTTGGTGATTCAAAATACAGCAATTTCACTGTTGATATTTCGGATAAATTGTTTGGTACGTGTCGTAAAGCACTTTCTTTTATAAAAATAATTATTTAAATTTAATATTTAACAATTAGGCTCTGTTGTTAATTTGTTGCAAATATTATTTTGCCTAGCAGGTAGATAGATTTCGACGGAAACCACCGACGAAAACGGCCGTTAATCAGATGAATATACTAATTAAGAAGTTTAATAAATTATCTGCCGAATGTAACTAGATTTCCTCTTCAACATTGCTTGGGGAACTGAGTTTAATCACGCATTGATATCCCCGTCTCATGTGCTACTCACGACAAACGAACATAATTTATGGTATATCAATATGATATATGTCATTGCGCGTTATGGCAGGACAATCGCTCAATGCTACGTCAACATGAAAGCGGTTTATTAAACACACTACAATAAAGGAATCCGTCGTCTGCAAATAATATGGACACGCGTCTGCGTATTTAACGATACATAGCGGGCTGATTGATATCCGTTACGTCACAATACGAATATTTTGACGTAGACGCATCAATTAATTAGTTGTTTCAATATCGAAATCAATATCGAATTCAATATTGATATTAATGTTAACGTACCTGAAGCATCGTAACTTGGCTAATGTACCACAGCGATCACTCTTATCTCAACTACCACGGAATGATCCTCAGTTGTCTAGTAGGTTTACTAAATTCAATCGTAAGGTCCTGTTCAGTACGGTTATATTGTAATTTCGTCTTTGTTTAACATATTATAGTTTTAACATAGTAGAGGAATGCAAGAGTAAGAATGGTTAATATGGAGTACGGTATACGTTGAGATGCTTTAAACAGAGGCATGAAACCAAAAAGACGATATGAACAAATAAAATATGAGATAAAACTCAGACAGCGTCGTACGACGCAGCTTGAGTTGGCCTTATGTAAAATGTTGATACATTGAATCATCAATGTAAACATCTTTATTGTACTCTCTCATTATGACGGTTTAAATAAATGTCACTCGGAGTAATTTATTAAGTGTAATAATATCATAAAAAAACACCCGTTAATTGGACATGCACTTTGAGAACATTGAAGGCGTCATTGGGGGGTCCAGGAAGACATTCCCCTTCCCCTTGAACAAGCATATACCCCCTTTTATTTGAAGCCACTTGACTAAAAATACAAATTTACTTACAAAGTTATTTTTGGTGCATGGGTTGCCATAAGGACTGTACATTGTCGTTGTCGTTGTCATGGTTATTCTCATTGTCATTCTCTTTGGATAATAACGTACGGTATATTTTGAATTGTTTAATTTCTTTTTTAGAGAGAATCATTGATACATATTCTGCAGCTGTGAAATTATTTTCTTTTTGAAAAGTTAAAATTTGGACGCAAAAAAAAAAAAAAAAAAAAAAAAGATCTATTTAGATAAGCTAAATTGATCACTTCGGAAAAAATGTTGCTTTAATTTTTTTGAATTAATTTATTAAAAAAAAAAAAAAAAAAAAAAAAAAAAAAGGAGAAAAAACGAACGTCACACATACTAAATATGAATATCAAAACATACATAGGTCAGAAAGATGGAGAACATTAAAATATATTATAAAATCAAAGTATTGTAAATAAACTAATTACCGGTATTAAAATAATTTCAGTTTTATTTTAGCTGAAAATATTCAACAACTTTTACGCATCTATTCAATACAATACAAGATTTCAATGTTAAATCATGCCATTCGATATTATAAAAAATTCCATGCTTAAGACAGTCATTCGATTGTAGTCGATGTTTGAATGGTTTGTATAAAAAAGAAATATGTAGTACAAAATAAATTATTATAAACTTAAATAATATCTCAAAGTCGCCTTACAGAATTATTAAAATATTGGCCTCCCTTCAATGGATGAGTGAGGAATAAAAGGTATATCTACTCTGTGATATTAAACAGGGGCGGATCCAGAGATGTCCGAAAGGGGGAGCGGAATGGCAATAATAACAATATATATATTAATGCTTGTGGTACACCACGTAGATTCTGAAAAGACCTGTTGTTGAGAATGCCTCGACGTTTCGATTGAGTTGCTTCAATCGTCTTCAGGATAATAATAATAATAATAATAATAATAATAATAATAATAATAATAATAATAAATAATGATGATAATGATGATGATGATGATGATGATGATGATGATTATGAGGATAATAATAATAATAATAATAATAATAATAATAATAATAATAATAATAATAATAATAATAATAATAATAATAATAATAATAATAATAAGATTTACAAAGCGCACATATCCACTGCAGTAGTGCTCAAGGCGCCATGAAGGACAGAGCCCAAAATTATGATGAACCATAAACTACATAAAAGAAACACCTCAGCTCACACAAGCAATTTCAGGCAATCCTGAAAGATTTATCAATATTTGATTTGGAAATATAAACTTTGAGGAAGTTTGATTTTCTTGTGTTAAGTGAATGCCTGTCGAACATCATTTTATTTTCAATACACAAACGAACTGGTAAGTGACTATGGATGCACTCATACATAGGCCTACATAAGACTTGCCAGAATAACTCTTCTTTGATCAATGTATTCCCACAAGAATCCATTCATTAGGACACGCATTTTGAAGAAGGGAACTCCACTCTGGTCCAGGAAGAGGACGACTGAGAAGAGTAATGAATGGACATCAACTATTAATAACTATATGGACAAATACAAGCTATTTCGTTGAATCAACGTGAGCATTTATCTGGCCTAAGGGCGCTTACTAAAGAAGAGAGATAAATGGAAACTTGCAAGATATTTTACGTGTAGCTCCTGTTAGGCCTACATTAATCATAGAGCACTTATTACTGCATGCTTTAAGTTGTAAGATTGGTTTGACAGACTGTGCAGCAATATTTATTCGCTAATTGCTCAGCCTAAGATAGGCCTAGATTCCAAGAAAGATACGTCCTGGTCAATCGAATGCACAAGGTATAAATATGCATTGGTATTACTGTTTGACGTGATGGCTCCATTCAACAGCTTTTATCTGTCAATTGTTATCGTCGGGTCTTAGTAGGCCTAATTGTTTGTCAAGCATGCGGCAACGGAAGAAAAGTTGTGCACATGCGTTTAAACCACACACTGCGTCGGCCGACGGTCGTACGACCCTCACGGCCGACGGATCCACCCCCGCTCTCTGTGAGAAGCGACGCCGTCTGCTGTTTGTTAGTGGCAGAATGGGCAGATCGTCATCGATCCGATGCTTGCGCTTCGTCGCGTAGCGTTCTCCATGGAATCGCCTCGACCGACGACCGTCTGTGTAACGTGTGCACCGCTTTACTTGACAAAAACTCGTCCGTCCAATCCATTTAACTAGGTTTGTGTCCTTTACGGTAATTGAACATTAAATACATAAGTGTTTTATGGTGATAGTGTTCATTACTTTACCGTATGCTTTCATTTCGTAGCCAACATAATTGAATGTAATTATAAGTTGTGGGAAATTTTGTGTTTGAAGTATATGTTGACCTAGATCGATTGTATATAACAAAATTTGGAGGTCAATTTTAATTTATATCATAGAAGTGCCTAGAAGAAATACACTGATAGGTTTTGAAGAGGGTGTGCCAACTCTTAAGGCAAAATTGTTTGTATTGAAAAAGCATAGGCCTAAAAATATATAACGCACACATGAAAATACTTTTAAGCCCACCGATTATTTAGCTGATTATTTTAAAGAAAATAATGAAGGTTTAGAAATTAGCATCAAATATTGACCATCTCATTTCGAAAGAAGTATTTGACCCTGAAATTATCTTATAACATTGTTGTGTATCTAGTATATGTATTTTTAAAAGTCAAGTCATCGTATTGAATTGCGTGCGACAATGTTCAATCATAGGTCGACATTATATGATATTTGATGGTATATCGTCTTACCTTTGTATTAGTTCAGATGGTTGGTATAATGTAGATTAGGCAGATGTTCACAGAATTATCCGTAATAGAAACACCACCAGCGAAGGATGGTCTTAAAGTCTTGCATCTTTACCGCATTACCTCGATTAAGTCACCGTACATCTCGGTTAGGCTAACAATTACAACACCCCAGAGGGTTTAGCGTCCAATTTTGATAAAAGCAAACTCGAAACAGGTGAGTTTTTTCTTCAGCCTTGGATTACCCGTGTATTATTCTATAACAAAAAATAATTTGGTTAGTTAGATTGGATAATATCGTTTACTGACAATGAGGACACATTACAGAAATTAGTATGAGACACTCGTGGTAATTTTTCGTTTACTTTCATTTTTGAAAGGTGGATTATTTCCCTTTCATCGTTCAATTCTATAATACCGTACTACTCCCTTCAGCGTTCGCTTCCATTTAATTGTACTTTTCCCTTTGACGTATTTTCCATTTGTTTATAGACATAGCCTACACACGTACATACGGTAGATGTAATTTGCTATTTTTCTGGTTGGATAAAAGTCGATATTAAATACTAAAATAGATAACAAACCCCCACAAAACATATTCAAATTTAGATAATATTTTAAAAATACAGATTGTAGAGAATGATTACTTACAGTACTTATCCTGTATATTATCAGTTGGAGCTTAAATTATCAAAATATGACATAATAATAAATAAAATATTAAAATAAATTGTTTAGCGTGGTCCACTGCTATTCTTAATATACCGTAGATACAATAAAGTTATATGATTTTACGAGCCATCCATTGATTGATTGATTGATTGATTGATTGATCCTATGAATCAGTGGCATGTTTTACAACCACGTTTGGGGCTTACGAAAGTTTATGTCCATGGCACCAATGGTCGTAAATTGCACTCTCTCAAGCTTAAACCTGAATGCAATTTTCTTGTCTCCCCATCTTATTTATTTTTCAAAATTTAGGGAGGGGGTGGGGCAGGTTGACTGTGCCTTGTATCCCCCTCTGTCACCTTACTGTTCCGCTCGACAGATACAACCTCCACTTCTCTCCTTTAAGTCAGTGAAACTTCCGAATAGAGCGCAACTATGTAAATGCTGAAATTAGTAATATATTCTACATTCGTGGGTGATGGATAATTCTTAGCTTAGATAACTGCCCGCGGGAAAACTATTGTGCTTTCTACATTATAGATTACATTTGTCACCATACTATTTTAATAGTAATGTTGTGAAGTCAATTCATTCACTGTGAGGTGGAAATAGACCTTTCCCAAGTCTCAATCAAATTTAACAACTGACCAATCAGAACAGCGCTAGGAATACGCGCGCGTCTCAGAAACACACGTGTTACCCCACAATTACACGCACATGTTTGCGTGTGTTCAGACTAGGTGGATAGTTCAGACTAGGTGGATAAAACCGGCTCAACTCACCGGGTTTATCCACCTGCCAGTCTGAACTAGGTGGCTTATCTCGAGCCAGGCTGTGTTCCTATAGTAACTAGGCCTGGCGCGCCACCGTGTTTAACTTTTCTAAGCCGTTCTTCAATCGTTGCGGGGGTTTTGCATTGACTTCCGGGTAACAAAATGACCAATCAGCATTCAATTACGTACGCTGTGAGCGAGCGCACGTTTCCCGAGGAGCAATGTTTTAAAACACGTTTCCTGGTTACGGTTCATTATTATGCAAATTCTCGCCTGGTTAAACCCGCTAGTCTGAACGCCCGGCAAAGTTAAGCCAGGCTTTACGTTGAGCCGGGCTTAATTCTCAAGCCTGGCTTATCTCCAAGTCTGAAAGTAGCCTAACACTACTGCCGTCTTGTAGGACCTTAGCAACAAAAACCAAGGGGTGGGGCTTAGCGAAAAGGTCCATTAACTAAAGTGATGTATTATTACTTGGATCCTGTTCTTGTTTCATGTCAAAACGATTTTCCTTGTGTGTACAAAACTACTCTCTACCAATCCATATAGATTTGTTTGAGAGAAGAGCTCACGTAATTAACTAAAACTCAAACAGAGCATGCATGATTCATGAAGTTATTTACCACGAACCAGAGTCATATCTGTCTCTTATACACATCTAGATGTGTATAAGAGACAGTCTTTTTAACCATGCAAGTTTCCTAGAGTGTCTAGATAGAGGCTCTGACAATATAAATTATAAATAGGTTTTCTTGATCTAGTAGTATGACGCTCGTTTTGACAGCGAGAGGTCGCAGGTTCAAATCCTGCCAGAGGCATTTTATCGCAAAACTATTAAGGTATTCGTTGAAGAGCTATGCCTCATACGTTTATTACATTTCTATACTTGAGCAAAGTTATTTCTATAAATTTACTGTTTAGTGCTACGCAACATACTGATTTAAATAATATGTTGATTATATAGGACTATATATATATATATATATATTTATATATATATGTATATATAGCAATAAAAATCAGTGGTGGTGCTGCATAGGCAAATATATATTCAATAAAAAAAAACAGACGAGGTGGTTAATTTGCCTCAATTTATTTGAAATAGATGCTCACGAACGTTTTCGACCATGGTCTTTCTCAAGTAATACATAATACAGTGAGAGTAGAATATTTATAAGTAAAGCTTATGATAAACTGACCAATGAGAAATATATAAACAAAACGCTTGAACATAAAGACATGCTTGGTCAATGATGGGCTGATACTCATAGAAACAAAAGCAAATTTTAAACAATACAATGGCAAAATTAGAACAATAGCAATGCCCGATCCAATAGTGTAAAAACAATAGCCGCCAGGGCGTATATTGTATGATGAACCAATCTAAAGATTATTACTAGCTTGTAAACCAAATTATAAGAAAGGCCTATGATGTCAGAAAAATCCATGAATATAGATATACATGTACAATGATATACCCGCTGAATTATAATCTAAATTAATTAAATAATACATGAATACCCGTAGGTGCCATAGTCCCAAGTTAAAAAAAAAGTTAAAAAACCAAGCTGCAGCACGAAAAAGCGCACTCCTGTTGTTGAGACGGCGACACCACCACTACCGCGTACACGCAGGTACTCCGGCGACAGTATGCTGGGCTCCGGTAGCTTCCACCTTGGATAAGCCTCGGCTCTACTACCGTGCACTGCTAAGGTGGCGACGCCGGCTCAAGTAAGGGAGTTGCGACATTAAAGAACACTTAAATACTCTAAAACACTTAAATTAAGTACTCTAGAACACTTAAAAACTCTAAAACTACAATTATTGTAAAAAGATAAACTTTAAAAAAGGTGGGTTTTTAATTTCTTCTAAAAAGTATGAACGGAAGTTGCTTCACGGATAGAGGCTGGTAGGGTGTTCCAAAGTCTTGGTACAGCGACAGAAAAAGCCCTATCACCGTAAGTTTTTAGTCGCGATGCTGGAACGGATAGTATGAATCTATTGGTCGTTGATCTCAAAGACCTACTACAAGTTACAGAACGTGACGTTAGAAGTTGAGAAATGTATTCAGGAGTCTTGTTGTGCAGGGCTTTGTACGTAATAAGCAGAATCTTGAATGTGATGCGCTTGTCAATTGGTAACCAGTGTAGATGATGGAGAACAGGTGAAATATGTTCACGCCTCGAAACTCCAGAGACTAAACGAGCTGCCGTATTAAGGCATAGCTGTAGTCTATTTAGACCACAGGCGGGAAGACCATACAGAATTGTTTGTTTTGTTTGTTTGTTTGTTTGTTTAATGGTTTTCTCCAGCACTTCAAATTAACATGACAGTATTAAGGTGACAACAATATAATAATAATACAAGGTTACAAAATCGGTGTAAGTACAAGTGGAAATAAAGTTATAGGAAGTGTGGAAGGAGGTCAAAATAAGTAAAAAACTTTAAGACTTGATCCCCTGTAAAAAACCGGAAGATGGTACATAAAACTTTAGAACACATTGCATTGCATTGCAATAATCTAGCCGTGATGTTATAAGTGCATGAACTAACTTCAGAAGAGCATTTTTTGTTAGGTACAATACTTTTGAATATGCTTGATGTTGCGCAGATGATATGAAACCGACTTACAAACGGTGTATATGTTTCTCCATCTTCATTATAGGATCAAAGACAACCCCTATATTACGGACTTGCTAGTCTAATTGATCTTAAATGTTCTGTTATTCTATCAGCCAGTCGCCTTATGACTTCACACATTAATAATAATAATAAGTCTCGAATAGGAACATGATGTCATAATGATATGTCCAGTGTAGCCCTTCAACGAAACGTTCCATATATATATATAATGTAGGCCCTATCTCGAACATGACAACCGAACTATTGGCCTTAGTTCGATAATGACAACCGAACTATTGGCCTTGATTCGATAATAACAATGAATGGGCTGAACGTCTCAATGAGTTCAATGTCTCGCCTCCCAGTCGTGTCTCCCCCAGAAAAAAAACCCAAAAAACAACACACGTAATATCACAAATCAATTTTCATCACAAATCAATTTTCTTCACGATCTACCCATTCAAGTAGCTACATCAATGCGTTATGGCAATGTAGTTTGCTTGCCTTACTTAATCCGAATACCCTTCCCCAGTATTTTAATTTTAAAAAATAGTAGGCAATATTTTGTACTTTCAAATGGATTTTTTTTTATAATGACATAAAACGTTCGATGAATTAGCCTTCTTTTTAATCTACACTGAGATCGTATTTTACTTTCGAAGTTGATGGTTAGTTTTAGCCTTTGAATGGAAATTGTGATTTCGTAATTTCTTTCTTTCTTTTTCATATTCTTCTTCTTTAGTTACGTTTAAATAAATACTTATTAATTTATTCTATTTATTAACAATTCGACGCAAAATAGTGTCGAAAACTACATGATTCCGATAAATATAGTCAAAAATACATACCGTACATGTATATAGCTTAAAAATATAATAATATTCATACAGTAATAGGCGTAATTGTATACACAGATTTACTTTGGTTAATCCATTATTTTTAAAAAAGGGTAAAGGTAGTCCCGTCTTTATTACTGAATGTAGGGGAATTAGTTGTTAGCCTATCGTACTAAGCCTAGGCATTGTGTGGTAGGGTGCCCAGTTCCTTTCCACGTCACCCTTTTTCCTCCCCACTGAGTGAACCACCGGCTACCAATTTATATTCCTGGGTAGAGAGAAACAAACTTATTTAAAGTAAATTATTAATGATTTAAAAACAATCATGTGGATTAATTTTAAAACATTAATATTTTTTTTCGCTTATGTCACAGGAATTAAATTAGTAATTCGACTTTGCTAGAATCATGTTTACGTTAAACGATAATGTTAAGCAAATTAAACAAGATATGACACATGATTAAATACTAGAGCACTTCTACTGTTATGTCTGATGATTTTCAAAATTGGGACAACGGAGTAATGTCGACTTAGTTAATTACAACATTCAGTGTGTTTTAAATAATTTGACAATTAATATCTGACAGGGGTAATTTACAACGAAGCTATCGGTAAATTTACCGTCGATTTATTTATAATCAGGCGCTACTGGGTAGGGACAAGACTTCCTGCTAAACAACAAGACAGCTATTAATATAGAAGCCTTAATAAGAGAGCTGGTGACTTTAGAGTGGCCGGGACCAGCTACGGTATCTTCGGCTTTGAATTTAGAAGGATTGAGTTGTGTTAAACTGAGTATATAATGCACAAAATGTTTATGAAAGTTCTAGGCCTAGTGCATAGTGCCTATGTTTTATTAATTCAGAATATATATTATATCAACTTATAGAACGTGTTTTAAACATACTGCACGACAAAGACGATAAGTAGAGATAGATAATAATAGCACCAAGCTTGTCAATATCAAACAGGTGACATATGGTAGCTTAAATGAAACGACAAGCTTTGCTATCCTAACTTTTAATCCAATCCAAAGACCAAAGGCTGATGACACAGCTCTAGAAGCTTGATAGGAGGCCGCAGTTAACAAAATCGGTGAAGAATTGTGCCTATGTAATGAAAATTAATGTATGGAATAAGCCTATAAAAAGCAATGGTCTTAAGAAGCACGAAAGACCAAATATCAATATCTATAACTAAAATTATGTCAATAAACAGCTTTACAAGCTTTTAAAATCAGTCTCATGTGTGTCAATCAATGTCATGTGTGATCAGTACAAATTCTAACAAAACGTTTGAATTTACACCAGGCTAGTTATCTGAAGGTTGTGGGTTCGATTCACACCCGAATCACCAGCGAGATTTTTGTACCGCACGTATTTGTGAACGTATACTGAGCATTGATATAATAATAAAATAATAATATATTTATACAGGATTTCACAATCAAGTATAAACCTGTTTTTCGCTGTGGCTATGTCAGAGAAAAATATTACAATACATCAAGAAAATTCATAAGACTTATACCTATAGACTTAATTGAGTTAATTGAAAGCGAGCGTTTGATAGTTTATGTTACCCCTGGCTTGGTGCTCATGATTTCTAGCCTCCACACCGATGTTTACTGCTGCTGAGTAGGTGTTTTTGCTTCTTTGCTTGTATATGTAGGCCTACATATATATTTTATGTATGTATATACATACATATATATAATATATATATATATATATGTAAATATATATATACAGTATATATATATATTATATATATAAATATATATATATATATATATTGAATTTCTGTATCAAAGACTATATACTGTCTCTTATACACATCATATATATATTGAATTTCTGTATTGAGTTTTCATATTTATTATCTGATATCAGCTGTGTTTTTTTTAAAAATATATGTATAATTTTTATATGGTTACCTTAATATTTTTAAAAATTATATTTGATATGATTGTTTAAATCCTTTTCAAATATATTGTTTATATTGAAAATTGTTAGACTCGAACACAATTTGGCCTTCGAGCCAAGATTTGTAACAATTTCAATGTTGTTTTGATGATAAAATTGAGATGAAAATTAAAGTGAAAAATTGCCATCTTTTAACAGCATATTATTATTAATGACAATACAGCGATTGTTAACACCATATTTCGAAGATGATCATAATCAATTAGCTTATCCACCATTGGTTTCACAGACCCTCGTCGGCTCTCGTTAAATTTCTCAGAATGGCCAACATTATTACTTAGCTAGACACAGCTGGATCATAACTAAAATGCACATTAAGATAAATATTACCCCTACAAACGCCACTACACGGTCATCTACATCATTTTGTAATTAGAAAAAGTAGCCTCAGATAGAAGTGGTAATAGTGTTATATACATAATTTACTACCACTGAATATTTACCACCACTGAATGTTTACCACCAGTGAATATTTACCACTACTGTATATTCACCACAACTGAATATTTACCGGCACTGAATATTTACCACCACTGAATGTTTACCACCTCTGAATATTTACCACCACTGAATATTTACCACCACTGAATGTTTACCACCACTGAATATTTACCACCACCAATGAATGTTATATATTTATGTTTTCATCTGTCGATCTATTTATGTGTTCATACCTTCGTTCAGTTTGGTATACAGGGCCGTTTTCGGAATTGCCATTGGGGAAGGAAAGAGGCGCGGGTTGTGCAAAAAAACTCGACCAACTGGGGTGTACTATAATCGCCAGCAGGGTCAGGGCAGATCCGGTTGGAGCGCAACCATAATAATCTTTGGCAACTTCAATGTCCAATACTGGCCTAACAATCGAATATTCGACAATTCTGTCGCATGCAGTGTCTGTCCGATATAATTAATTAAAAACGACATTAACATTTCTTTTTCACAATTTTCTCCCCAGGAGTTGCCGCTTTCTTTATCATTCTGTCGATTGATGTGACGCGCGCAGCTACAGAGACTAGACGTCTGAATTTGGAATATAAACTTTGATAATGGCTGAAAGTGATTACGTTGATCCCATTCTTATTCAAACAAATGATTATATCCTCTTCAATTTAACTTACCCTTTTGAAATAGAGCCTGTCTCATACTTCTGGGCCGCTCTTTTCGTAGCAACAATAATTACTGCTGCTGGGGGAAACATTATCGTCATTTGGATCGTTTTGACTAATCCACGCATGCGCACAGTGACGAATTGTTTTCTTGTAAACTTGGCGGTGGCGGATGTTTTGACAACGTCATTCAACATGATTCCCGCTTCGTACATGAATATTACACAAAATTGGATTTTCGGGAAAGCATTATGCAGAATTAGTACTGCGAATGGATATTTTTGTGTTATGGCGACCGTTTTCTCGTTGGTGGCAATAACGTTGGACCGATATAGAGCAATTGTTTACCCATTAAAACCAAGACTGTCGAAGTTAACAACTATTGCGATTGTTGTAATAATTTGGAGCCTTTCTGCAGCATTTGCTTACCCAGCACTTTTTTACTCTACCACACTAGCAGCTGTTTACGCTCTAGATGACACTTTGATACACAGATGTTACATTGATTGGCCTGATGGACAACAGAATTATGGATTTGATAACTTTATGTAAATTCATTATTTTTTTTTATTGATTCGTCAATCTATCCATCAATTTGCTCATTTGATTCATTAATTCATTAATTTGCTCATTTCATTAATTAATTTGCTCACTACATTCATTCGTTCATTCGCTCATTTATTCACTGAAACAGCGTCTACGCTGTAGACAACATTGATCATTTGTTACATGAACTGGAATGATGGACAACTGTTTTATTGATTTGATGAATTTGTGTAAATTCATTATTTTTTTTTACATTGAACCGTCAATCCATTCATTTATTTGTCCTTTTTTATTCTTTCATTTCTTCATTCATTATTCGTTCATTCAATCTTTCATTCATTCATTTCTTAATTCATGCATTAATATCTTCAAGAATTCGTTCATTCTTGCTTTAATGCCCTCATTCATTCATTAATTTCTTCAAGCATTCGTTCATTCATGCTTTCATTCATTCCATAGTCAAGAAAATGTACTGTTAACAGTAGCCCAGCATAGGCCTACATTATTTTGATAAAAATGTCAGATATTTGTACTTGGCTTGAAATGTGTAAACTAGTTTGATAAGAGAATAAATTTTCTTTACATTATCTAAGAGTTCTTTTTAAATTTGAAAAATGTAAATGTCAAAATGCCAAAAATAATTGAAAAGATCAGATAAAGTTATTAACTTCCAACCAAAAACACTTAATATAAAGAATTAAATATTTTTCGTTGATTTACAGAATGTTTTACTACAAAAAACATTAAATTGAAAATAACCAACCGCCTGTTAAATCACGGGATTTTATTTTCTCCAATTTTAACTCCGATGAGGAGCTCTAGAAACACTCAGCTGATTGATAAATTAATATCTTTTTTGTATGGGCGGCCGTTAGGGCCTCTAGAAAAACTCGGTTGATTGATTAATAGACTTTTTTTGTATGGGCAGCCGTTAGGGCGAATATACTCTACTGCCTCTATTATACTGCCCTCATCGAAGCTTTCGAAATTACGAGAACATAATAACTTACCTAGATACTGTATCTCATAAAATATACAACATATTTACAATGTACAAAGCATTTAAAAAAGTTCAATTTAAATCCGTTAAAAATACTAAAAAAGCGAGTTCTTTGCAAAAAATACCGTAATTTCAATGATGAATACATTAAAACAATATATCTTTAAAAACATTCCTATCAAGAAAAGATACCAAAACACGCAAGAAAAAAATGAAGCAAAATTTTAAAATTCGAAAAAGACATTTAAATATAATAATAACATATTTACATTAAAAAGCGGTTGGCTGAGAGGTATTGTTCCTCCTTATACTGAAGACCCCATTTAAACCTGGCCAGCGTCGGGTTTTAATTGGAGTCGGATCGCTTGGCTCCTCGAAAACCCTCATATTGAGAGTTAAGTGGGTTAAGGACAATGTATCCGTACCATGTCTCCGTTATGTTGTAGTTAGTACGGGTGGCGCTGCACTGGCGGCTGACGCGGCTCGCCCAGCCCAAATTTCCGATTTCCAATTAGAGTGAGGACCAATAAAGAATTTTTAAAAATACAATCTTGAATAAGATAACTGCGCATACGCTGTTGTATTTGAATGATCAAATTAAATATAGGCCTAACTGTATTTTTTTTTCAGATACCATATGTGTTTTACGGTATTTACGTACGTTCTACCATTGTGTATAATGACTGTTTGTTATAGCGTCATTGGAGTGAAGCTGTGGGGAGGCAAGATGCCGGGGGAATCTGTACCCAATCGACCCAGACCCCATCTTGAAGCTAAAAGAAGGGTAGGCAGGCAATACCTAAATAACGTTCATTTACTTTATTTTTAATATTAAGCCAACTTTCATAATGATAATATAAGGCCAAATAAAATTAATTACTAGCTTCACGTCCCTGTCCTCATCAAATTTTGAAACCTCATGAAAATATTATTATATGCTATTTAAAAATAAAAACTTAATAATTTTTTCATTGAAAATAAAAATTATGATGATCTTAATTATTGTTGTCAGAACCTAAGAAGTAGGAAGTAGTAAAGAAACACAGATGCAGTATACATTATTACAAAGACGTATTTTTACTTCTTTTATAAAATAATAATTGTTATTATTTACCAGCCGGTTTATCACTAGTATACAGGATAGTTAAAAGCAAATAGTAAATACCATTACCAAAAAATAATTTCAAATTTCGGACGTGAAACAATTTTATTTCGCTTAAAAGGTAACGAATCTGTAAGAAACGCCAATATTCTATTGAATTTCCAGGTTGTTAAGATGATCGTTGTGGTGGTAACAATCTTCGCCCTGTGTTGGCTACCGGTGCACGTGTACTTTCTACTATCAAGAACTATCGAAGATATCTACTTAATTCCATATATACAGCATGTCTACTACTTCACCTGGTGGCTCTCAATGAGCAATTCCATGTGCAATCCGTTTATATACTGCTGGTTAAATGACAGGTAAGCTTATACCAGACGGTTACTCGAATCTGTTCAACCATGAAGCCTCTGTGGTCTAATGGTTATGACGCTCACCGAATCCCGTCACCGGCATTTTATTACACAATGAATTTATAGAACAATTTGATGATTTATATGTAATTTAACAGTGTTAAATATATATAACAAAACAAATAGGCCTAGATAAATAATAATAACAATACGAGGCAATGTTGTCATTTTCACTTTATTAAATTTTATTTAGATTTCGCAAAGGGTTCCAACATGTATTTAGGTGTCTTCCGTGTGTGAAAGCGATCGACCCACCGGAGAAGCCGGTCAATCGGAGTAGGACTAGCAATTTTACTATGATGAGTATGCACAGTACGTCATCAGGAAAACGCACTGCTTCTAGAAACAGCTCCTTTATGACAACTACCATGTACGAATGCCATGACTCCATGGGGGATGACAACACAATATGACAAAAGAAACGTGTTACAAACGCACCACCACTAATGCCGTGACGCCTTATCAGGACTGATACCATTCAGGGGCTACAGTCAAAAGTGGATATTATCCTACGTCTGTGCTTAGTCCCACCTAACTTAAAAGTAGACTGGAAAAAGTGCCTAAAACTGCTAGTGTACACGAATTAACAACTAAGAGGTAAAAAAAGTGAAATGTTAGTCAAAAATCACTGCATCACAGTGAAACATTAGGCCTACTGTTCCCAAAGGTCATGTTGGATGCTATTGAATTGCCACGATGGGGAAATCATCATTCTTTAACTTTGATCATGCTGTTCATTAAAGATTTGGAATGGATTTCTTGTGTCGCTCCTGCTCACAAATAGGAGAGACCGCTGACAATATTTCTCAATGACTCGGGGTTGCTGAGACGGATACAACATTTTCATTTGGCTGACGCACACCACCAATATACTGACAATAGCATTCGTCATTTAACTGTCACGTTCTGAGACACTAGATACTAGTAATTGCCTATTAACTGTTGCGCGCGCTCAGACGCAGAAAACATTTCTCATTTGTCTGAGAGAAAACCCCGTTTCGTAACCTTATCTGTCACAAATCGACAAACAAAATGTGGCTGTCGTTCACCATCGACACCCTAACAACACGGGTCATTCCACCGTTATTTGACGCTCGTAAAACGCTTATGTCTCAGATTCAATATTAATCAAACTTTGCTCATACCACTGTTAGCCTACCTGCACCCGTCAAGAGCAGCCGAAAAGCTTGGTGTACATACAATCGCTACACGCCACCGCCGACGGCTTCCCGTGATGCCGATTGGTCGGTCGAGTTGGGGAGCCTCCCCGATCGTGACGGGGACTGCTACGCAGTACACCGATTGCACTGAAAACACTGTAGCGATTGTACGGAAACTAGGCTTAACGTCAAAATAACAAAACACTCTCACAAGCAAATTTATGCCGATATATAGTCATGATGTGCCTATTATTACGGTCATGGTGTGATGTCATCTTGACCGCATTTAGGCATGTCATATGTTTTTGTCAAATAAAATCTGATCGTCTGGACAGGGCTTTACTCGACAAGGACACAAACTACATTTCACACTGACTGATCAACAGGTACTCACGAATACTCACTCAATACATAAGAATACTTAATTTGTTCTTAAGCTTGGCACTCACTTCGCACACGGTCGTCGGCCGACGCGATTCTATGAAAAACGCAACACGACGACGCGCGCGCAACGGATCGTGTTTAATGACGATCTGTTCAGACTTCTAATGACAAACAGCAGACGGCGTTGCGTCGTCTCGCTCACAGGGAGCGAAGTTGGATTCGTCGTGCGACGTGTACGACCGTCGTACGACGCAGTGAGTGCCCGGCATTAGATAATTGCAAGTTAATCCATGAACTAAAACTACCTAATAATGTACTCCTTTGTCCTGTTTCACAGATTGCTTATTAACACACTCAATTTTAAAATTTAAAAGCATGGATGGATTCAACACAATAAGATAAACAATTCTAACAACCTATACTATGGTAGATAGACCTATTCTCAACGAAGATATCTGTTGATACAGACGTACGTAAGCCACGACAGTGACAAAGCTTCATTTATGATTAATTAACGACTGTGTGTAAATAGCTATAAATTTGACGTTCACATGATAAATGATGAAACTAGGACATTGAAGATATACAGATAATTTAGACGTAATTTAAACGCGAAAACGCGTTTAACGCGAGAATGAAATGCTTATAGCAGAAAAATTGACGATAATATTTTAGTATACTCTCGCAGTGTTTGACGACGGTAACCAACTGGACTCTTTAATATCTAGATGTGTATAAGAGACAGCAGTATATCTGTAATAACATATTATAGTTATTGAATTGTTGTATAAAGAAAATAAGGTGTTAATAAACAGAATAAATATATTTCCACAAGCGAAGGCTATTATATAAATGCTGGCCTTAAGTCGAAAGAAATATTTTGTTTATAAAAAAGGACCAAATGAAACTAACCTATATTATTAATACTGAGAGCGGAATACACGGTGGTATGCCTGCTAATTAAAAATGTGGTGCTAATAATTTTGTCAGTATGTACGGGTTGTTGAAATGTGTGTTCTGGTGATAATATTTTAAATATCCCATCTAAGTAGGTCTATGATCCTCCTTCTAAATAGAGAGGTTTTGCTACTTGTCGTTATTCGTACGTGCTTACAACAAGTTTTAAACCGAATACACGAATTAAGGGCGCACTGCTGACAATCTTGTCTTGGCCAGTTACATTGCCGGTGAGTATTGACAGTTCAGGATAAATTACTGTAGTTGCATTACTGGTATTGTAGACTTGCCACAAGGGAAAAAACACGATGGTATAGCTATTTACAACTAGTATATGGCCATAGTAATTTAAAGAAATTTACTTTATACTATATTTAGTATTAGTCGATAACAAATTTGTAAACAAGTTTATTACAACAAAAATAATAAATGCGAGAGAATTGTACCGGATGATATACGGGTCGAAAGTCTGAAAATACGTCCACATCTGTACAGTTAAAGGCCTAAATACATGTAAATAATAGTTATCCCATTATTTAACTTAATCGAGTTTGATTGTACAATATCACTTATTTAATATTTTAAAGTGTTTTTAGCTATTATTAGGTCTACAACTGTGGCTTGTTTGCGAAATGCATGTTACTTTTAGTAAGCTTTAGGTGTACCGTTATAATTTAATAAAGCAGTTTTTAGTTTGTTCATGGTCTTTTCAAGTTAGCTTATTTCAAGGATCCAAGATTGTTTGCCAGATTCTGTTTAAATTTAGCTTTCCAATTGGTTTACGCAGAGCGGTTATTTATCATTACGCTCGAGTTTACCGACAGGACGACTTTGTGACACTAATAACGATGTTTTGACATTCAGACGTAAGACAAGAACGATGTCTGACAGAAGTTGAAAAAAAAAATATCTTGCAGAAATGAAGCAGACCCGGAGGCTTACGTGATTGGTTTGCTGACCACGAACATTAGCAAATAATGCCAGCAAATGCGTCTATTTTATATTATTTGACATTCGACATAATACAAAACTATGTGCCGGGTGGGCCCCCAGAAATTTACAGTCTTAAAGGCAAGATGTTGGGTTTCCTGTAAGCCATGATTTGAACATTTTAAAAAGTATTAAAATTTAAAGCAAACTACCAAAGAGAAACGCTTAGAATCTGCAAGAATTCTCAGTTTAAAATAAAAAAAGCACTTTATTATATCCAATCACAGGATAAGCGACCGGATGTTTATATTTTAATATGAGGATGAAATATGGCTCAAACTATTTATCATATATATATATATATAAATAATTATATATATAAATATAATATATATAAAAAATTAAAACCGAACAGTAGAGAACGTTTCGTTTGGGTCTATACCCTTGCTGCACTGATGAGGCCTGGAAGGCCGAAACGGATCCGTCTGCAGATATTGGGATTCCTTCCAGTGGATGCTTAGTTTATTTTGTCATTCTGATCGGATTTTCTCTACTGTATCGTAACCTATAGTGTATCGTCACCACCACCATCATCATTATTTATTGATGATTTTATTTGTATAATTTGATTTATACATTTGATATATTATGCTCCGACAATTGATATACAAATATGTTGGTATACATGTGTAAAAAGATAAATTGTCGAGAGGGAACATATTTAGCATTATCATTATTATTTAAGGAATTATTATTAAGCTATACATAGGCCTAAAGGCATCAATTTATCATCATTTTTATTCATCATTTTTATTATTATATACCGGTACCCTTGTTATCGTGAACAAGTATAGGGGCCTATGTAAATTTTGAACGTCGACGAAGAGGAATCTGTGAGTGTGAAAGACGTCTATGATGCCCCAACTTGGCATTGAGGCTTCGTTTGGGAATTCACATCCGATAAAGCAACTCATTCTTCACACTCTTGGGCATGCGCAGTTGAACAACACTACTGTACTAATTGCACATGAAATAACAGAGATCAAAATGAATACGCCCTCTTCTGAAAGTATTTAACAAGATACAGGCCATAGGCCTATTATTATATATAAGCTTATATATGAATTTATTATTACATAATTTCAACGAAGTTTATAAACATGTCGGCCCGAGTTATAAGGATGTACATATACTGTAACTGGTAAACTTGGGCGAATATAGACGATGTGAGGATATCACTAAGGTTTAGACTAAGGTCTATAATAGGGCCATTGTATATATTGTTTGTTATTATGATAATTGTATTAAAACGAAAAAGAACACTGAAATAAATTAGTCGTTTCTCAAATTATCTTCGGGGTGGTTTGTATTTATTTTTTTGTTCTTTAACTTTTCTAGCACGGTTCCCCAAAGTTCCCAATATTACATCATACATCAATACAATAAAAATTATATCAGTAGTATCTACTGAATAGACACTCTTCTAAATACGTAATGGCAAACAAAAAAAATTATGCAAGCTGATAGTGATGATCTATAGATGTTACAAAATAATATAATAATAACATTGATAATTAAAATCCAAATAAAACAATCGTTCTAATCTTCTAACGAACAGACACACAAACAAACAAACAGATCGACAAACATCGGTGAATACCGGTACTTCTCGTTGGGGTACTGCAGAAATACAAACAAACAGATCGACAAACATCGGTGAATCACCGGTACTTCTCGTTGGGGGTACTGTAGAAATACAAACAAACAGATCGACAAACATCGGTGAATACCGGTACTTCTCGTTGGGGGTACTGCAGAAATACAAACAAACAGATCGACAAACATCGGTGAATACCGGTACTTCTCGTTGGGGGTACTGCAGAAATTAATATTCTACATAACAAAATGTTTATCTTGATAACTCTACTTATTACGGGCCTGCAAACACATTTCAACTGACTGGTATTCGATTAGACTAATGTTGTAATATAATATTACAACATTGCCTTCCAAACCCATGGTCCTGGGTTCAATATCAATTCCTGTCAGTGTTGCAGGATTTGTTCTCACGACCAAAACAACTCCACTCCCTAAAACTCATATTGAGATTTAGTTTGTGAAAATCATCGTGTGTGTATGTTTGTCTTAAGGGATTGTCACCTACAAGTAGGCCAGTGATATATTAACTCAATCCTTGGCTCATGTGTTGTGCGCCTAAATAAATAAATAAATAAATTATATTAAATTATAATGGGAGACGTCAGATCCTCCCATTTCAACAAGAGGATCGAACTCTGTTCTCGCAAATATCTCGACGGTTCAACGACTTGGTACGCTGCTTTATGTATGAACGCTTATATTTGAATTGAAAATCTATTGCTAGAGGAATTTGCGTTAGGGAAATGAATAATCAACGGTTTTTTTTTGCTTAAATTGACATTTTTTCTACTCAATACTGAGTATGCCGTCAGCAAATTCCTGTAAAAAAGAAAAGAAAACAAGGGTTTCTGTTTGGAATCCAATCCACGATCCCCATAGTTTGTGCATGGCAATCTATCATTGACTTCTGGGGGCTTAACAGGACTTAATTCGATTTCAAAAAGCCGAGGGTTCCCAACTACTACAAATAGGCCTATTTGCACCAGATAAAAGTAAGTTATTGAGATGGCCTCTAAATTCATCAATCAATCAATTAATAGTATTGAAAAAAGTGTATTTAGGCATATTTCTATGATTAAATTTATAATTCCTACTCATTCTTCGGCAATATTTTTTCAGGTTAATAGCATCACTGTACTTTTAATGGACATACGAAGCACATGATATTTATCCGTCAATAAAACATACGGTAGTCACGCCATCAAAGACCTACCAAATATAATAATCCCTTACGTAAATTAAATTTAACGCAACTTAAATTTAATAAGAAAGTATAATACATACTCCAAGTAT